GAATGTGCAGTACCTTTGGGCATATACTACTCCTTAGTTAGGTGCACTTATATCTATTCATTGATTTATGGTTCACAAGTACATTCCCATTGTGGTGTCTGCATAACATGTTCCCAGGCACCTAGTACACATTATCTATCAGGCTTGTACTTTTTGCAATTGGTTTTGTAGTGTATGTTGTGTTCCTCTCCATCTTGTGATAACACTGTCAGCTGTCAATGATAAGTTGCAATGAACAGCTCTTCAACCTCTTGCTCTGAGGAGTGGATGAGAGTATTGTCTCTGTTCATTTTCTATAAAAATTCACAAAGTCACAGATTTTTTTTTTTACATTCAGTAGACATGACTTGAAACTAAAACAACAAATAAAGAAAGAAATTTGAATGGGGCAGAAATTGAAACCAATGCCTTCATTCACTTTAAAGTTTAGATTCATGTATTCTCTCATTTTAGCAATAAATTAATGTTGGTACCACTTATTTTTGATTGTCATTATCTTTAGCATTTATATTGCAGGCCAACATAACATGGTTCTCTTCTTGCAAAAATAACTATTTGCATTGAATTTGAATGGAGAGAGGGGGGTAAAGATGCAGGATAATTTTACTTCAGAAAATTATTGATCAAAATTTCAAAATTCTTTCCTATTTAGAGTGAAATGTAGTGTGAGTTTTTAAAAATAAAGACAAAGCCAAACTAACAGATGCCCATATATTTCCTTCTCCAAACATGAGAGTACACTCACACCTGTGATGGGATGTCAGTCAGGTATTCATGAACACAGCAGGTTAATAATAATAAATAATAATATACTTTATTTATACCTCGTCACCATCTCCCCTAGCGGCTTACATGGGGCCAAGCCCAGACAACATATTACAACAAATAAAACCAGAGCATAGGTTACCAAAACATCTATGTTTTAATGTACTGTCAAGACATAATGTAACATAACCCTTTCTCACCAAACTAGAAAGACATTGCATTTAGAATAATGCACTCCACAAGGGAAATTGCAAGGTTATAACCCATTTAAATGAACAATGATAATCAGACGTCATTAGAAACTCACAGCATGATTTAACTCAATTATACCCAAAAACATTGAAAGCCTTTGTATTTTAGTAAGTCACAAGATAAATTGTTGTTGTACTTATACAGAATGACGACTACTTAACATATGCTTAGCACTAAAATGTACTAAATTAAATGAAATAAACCTACAGGAGGACTGAAAATTCATATTTTACAGACATGATAGATAAAGAGGAAAACAGTAGGGAGAGAAAGTGGGATGGAAGGGGAGACTCAAGCATTCATAAAATTATGCCTGAAGGATAATGGTCAGAAGCCCAGCTGAGAGAAGAGATATGGATTGTAATATAAGAGAAGAGTATCAGCAAGGATGAAAATGAAACAAATTAAAGAAAAAAGGCATAAGGATCGTCTTAAGAAATCATTTTGTTCTTGGATTACAGATAACAAAACAGACGCTTATCACGTCATGTTTGAAGAAGGCAGATGTGGATAGACCACAGTCTCCATCTTTAGAATGGGTAGACGAGGGACCTCATCACATTTGCTGCTGGAATTGCCATGGGTCATGGCAAATCTGACAGTGCCTGGTGGGGAGTATTGGGAACCCGTTCCCCCACACCTTACATTGCCTGACTTCCTCTCTCACCCTATCCTGGGGAGGGGGGGGGGTCCCCTGCCCGGCTTCCCCCTGTTAGTCCTAATGCAACATAGGAAGCCTCCCATGTTGCCAGCTGGCTTGGCACCATATGCCAGTTCCCCTTCACTTTTGCCCTGGATCCCTGCTGGAAGTAGATGTACATTGTGGGATGTAAGTCGGTGGGCTCCGTGGCAAAACTGAAAAGGAATAGGCATACACTGCCGAACTGATGAAGTCATAGGATAGTCTTTTCCCTTCAATCAAATGTAGCACACACCTGTTTTGTATTTTGGCTGTTCTACCCACATTTCTTGTTGGAACTAAACCAGATATTAGATGCTGCATAAATAGTTTTTAATTTTGCTCTATTAACAAAGGTGGTTCTATTCTGACAGATCCATACTTGTCCAAACTGCAACACAGCCAAATCTAGGGCCGTGAAATTGGCAATTAACATTTTTTAATTTTATGCTGAATATGTTTTGATGCCATCTTTCTGTACATGACTTCAGTGCATATGTAGACACTAGGCCTGGGTAACAACGCAAAAATTTGTTTCTAAAATCGATTTGTATTTGTTTTTTTGCGTTTCGATATTTAAAATAATTACAAAACTTTCCTTTAAAAAAGTTCAGTATTTACGAAATTTCGTTAATATTAACGAATCGATTCGTTAAGATGGCGGACCCCCCGCGCATGCGCAAATCACCTCTGAAACTTCGTTATGAAGACGGGGGTCGATTCGTTAAGGTGGCAACGAATCGATTCGTTAAAAAAGAAATATTTATCAGAAATATTTAAAAATGGAAAATTAACAATGCTTGCCCTGTTGTGGAGTGAACACAGCCACAGGACAGGGACAAACTCACACACACAGGCACACAAGGGTCTTTTCTTTTTTTAGAATATTTTTTGAATTTTTTTAAGAATAAAAGAAAGATATTTTTCAGAAATATTTAAAAATGGAAAATTAACAATGCTTGCCCTGTTGTGGAGCGAACACAGCCACAGGACAGGGACAAACTCACACACACAGGCACACAAGGGTCTTTTCTTTTTTTAGAATATTTTTTGAATTTTTTTAAGAATAAAAGAAAGATATTTTTCAGAAATATTTAAAAATGGAAAATTAACAATGCTTGCCCTGTTGTGGAGCGAACACAGCCACAGGACAGGGACAAACTCACACACACAGGCACACAAGGGTCTTTTCTTTTTTAGAATATTTTTTGATTTTTTTTAAGAATAAAAGAAAGATATTTTTCAGAAATATTTAAAAATGGAAAATTAACAATGCTTGCCCTGTTGTGGAGCGAACACAGCCACAGGACAGGGACAAACTCACACACACAGGCACACAAGGGTCTTTTCTTTTTTTAGAATATTTTTTGAATTTTTTTAAGAATAAAAGAAAGATATTTTTCAGAAATATTTAAAAATGCTTGCCCTGTTGTGGAGTGAACGGCAAAGCCTCCCCGCTGCTTCCAGCCCAGGGAATGAATGAATGCAAGCAATGAATGAATGCAAGCCAAGCCTCCCTCCCGAACCTCCCGTCTCCTCGCCTTCCCCAGCAATGAGCAATGCGGCCACGCGGAGCCGCTTTTAAAGGGCAGCCCGCCCAATCACAATCAGCCACGGTGCTTGGGAGCGCAGGATTGGCTCCCAGCGCACCCAGCATCCTCCATCCCTAAAACGTCATTTCCGAAACGGGCGGAAGCCCGTAAAAAAGATGGAGGATGCCGTTTCGATATTTAAAAACACTTCCGGGTTTGAAAATATGTTTTGTAATCGTTTTGTAATTGCTAAAAATAACAAATATTTAACGAATTACAAAATTAACGAACGAAACCGCCCAGGTCTAGTAGACACACATACTAAAATCCATTTGGTTCTCCAGATTAAAAAGGATTTCACATTTCCATATGCTGAGCTGCATTGTTCACCTCTTCACAAATAGCCTACCATCCTCTCATTATTTTTTAAACTACCCCTCGCGCAAACCCCTTTGTTCTGCAACATAATCTGCAACATTAATTGAGTTCACTTAGTTGTTTATAGTACAAACATAGTGCTCCGGGCCATTGTAGAGCTGGAGATGCAGTTGCCCGAATTATCAACAACGTTCAATTTAAAGTATAGGAATTATTTAAAGTCTTCAATACAATTACCTTAAAGGGTCTATCACTACGTTCGCCATTAAGTTTCCAATTAACTTTTCAGAGAAATTGATTGTTTATAGTGCATTTGCCATTTTATAGCATACTGAATGCCTTTTGTAACAGAGTGAAAAAGTTGGCAGCATTCACAAAATAGGAGGTATGAACGAAGCATGCTTCATTCATGGACTGGCAATAAGCATTCTCACAAAGCCTATGGAAGTTACTTTTTAGGAAGCTAACCCTCAGAATCCCCCAGTTATATGCTGTCTGTGGGATTCTAGGAGTTATATAATAAAAAAAGTAGAGCCCTGCATTAATAGTATTTATAGCTAGTTATCATAAAACTGTTTGTCTCAATAACAGCCAACTATTGTAGGCGGGTTTGAGGGCTGACATCATGGCCCTCTATCATCTATGAGAGACAGAGATGTCTGTTCAATTGCTCCACTTTGACACTATGCCACTATGGCCTAAACTCAATTCTAATCCTAAGTAGAGCAGCACCATTAAATCAGTTGGTGAATGGTAAACCAACACTTCCAAAAACTCCCCTGATCCAGTTGTTGTTAGCTTATGTACTCTCAAGCAACCAAAACTACTATTTTAGGGTTAGGGTATTTTTTGCAAGAGTTATTGAAAGGAAGTTTGCCACTGCTTTCCTCTGAGGCTGAAAGACTGTGATATGCCCAAGGTTACAAATACACACCACTTGAATTTGCATAGCTGAGTCGAGATCTGAACCCCTATTTCACAGAATTCTAGTCCAACACTCAATCCATTGGATTTAAATCCATTTGTTTTGGAAAACAGGAAAGCAGATATGATTCTTATGCTTAATCTAAAGTGTTAGAAAATGATATCTGAAGGAAAAGAGCAGAACAAAAATAATAAGTGATAGATTCACCTTTCTTTATATAACATCTGATTCCTATCTAGTGGACCTGAAAGTATCTAGGCTCATGTAGAACTGCATTGGATTTAATTCTGTATTTTAATCAGTTTACATATTGTAGATACAGTAGTTCTACCGCTGAGCACTTGATTTGCAATTTTCTTTGGCCTCGAGAAAGTAAGTGGTTACTTGAACAAATTATATTCAAAAGGCATACATACTAATCATATATAAATCAAATAATTTAAGCAAGACTTTATACATCTTTACTCACCCGAACCACCTCCAACACTTAAAACATTTATTGTGGACTTTCCATTACCTATACTAAGAGGAAAAGAGAATGCATCTGTTAGAACGGTTGAACAGTAATCAAAAAGTATGGCCTGCCTTCCCACATATAACCTGCCAGTATTAATGTCCTCTCTCTTTTTAGTTTGTCAATAAAATAAACACAGGATAGATAGATGCAGATTAAGGGGTGGAGCTATGTAAACAGAAGCAAGCTTGGGTCTCCATACTTCAGAATTATAATAGTTTGACACCACATTAATGGACATGACTCAGTGCTATGGAATTCTGGCATATGTGGCTTTGTCGGATATTTACCTTTCTCTGGTAGATTAATGTGGTGCCAATACAAATTACAAATCCCAAGATTCCACAGGACAGAGCCCAAGATCGTCTCTTTGATTGTGAAAATGTCCATACCTTTAAGTTACCTGTCAATTTACATTGTTTCTATGAAGTACACAGACTTATCTAAGGCAAGAATATTCAGAAGTGTTTTGCCAGTTCCTTTCTCTGAAATAACATCTATAGCATATGGTATCCATTGATGGTCTTTCATGATTGTGTAGATAATGAGAAAGTGAGGGTCATTATTAAAAACAATGTTTCACAATGCTTGATTGTCTTGATGCTTAACCTATACTCTGGATGAGAGGCTATCATTGAATGGTTTTCAACTGCCAAACAAGTCAAGCAAAGCTGCATTTTATAACACTTTGTTTTTAAGTTGTATGCTGGACATCATATGTATAACAAGGTTAGATTCTGAGGAGGGAGGCATGACAACTGGAGAAAAGAACATCAATAATTTAAGATATGTAGATAACACCAAACTACTAGCAGAAAATAGTAAAGACTTGGAAAGATTTCAGAAGAAACAATGTGCACAAACAGGTTTACAAATGAATATTTTTTAAAAACAAAAATAATAACCAAAAAAAGGAAGGAAACTCATTTTAATGTGGTGCTGGAGAAGAGTTCGATAGGCTGCTAAAAAGAGAAATAAATAGATCCTAGGGAAAATCAAACCAGAACTTTCCTTAGAAGCCAAGATTACTAAACTGAGAGTGTCATACTTTGGACATCACAGGAAGACATGTCTTCCTAGAAAATACAATAATGTTCGATAAGGTAGAAGAGAATAGGAAAAAAAGGCCCCTTTCCAAATGGATAGACCCAATCAAGGAAGCCACGGCCACGAGCCTTCAACAGCTATAAGGACAGTTGATATAAGCGTGACTTTGAGGTCTCTCATTCATAGGGTCAACTTGGCAGCAGTTAACAAATGTATCAAGTATTTATTCCACCTGAGTTATATTTCCTTGTGATGAAACTTTGAAATATGTAGTCTGCTAAGCAAATCCTTTAAAAGAGAAGATTTTTATGGGAATTCTCTGTCTGATCATTCATATTTGCACTAACAAAATGCAAGGAAAGAAGAAAAGGGGAAATAGTTAAAATGAGTGGCTTGCAATTCTCCAGCAGTTCTTTTAAAATCAGTTCTATTCCTTACAGAAATACGCACACCCCTATCAAATACATAAGGTAGATTAAATGTTGCCTTTCTAATCAGATATCTGGTGCTTTTACCTGGAAATTATGTCTGGCAGATTCTTCTGAATGAATTCCAGCATGCACTGATGCTCTGTTGAATTTTCAAGGAACAGACGAAAAGATTCAACATACTGGCTATCATCAGACAGCAAGCTCCTCATCGCCATGGCTGATTCCAAATCAGTACCGGTGGGACTCACAAAAAGAACAAGCAGTGTTGTTTGAGCATATTATGGATGAGTCACTGAACAGAGAAAAAAAAGTGATACAGAACAGTGTGAGTAGTTCTATTAGAATTGAATCAGAGCTACTTAGAAATATCTAAAATACCAAGTAGTATCATGCAAGTACTGTAGGTGTAATGGAGAAACACTTGCTAAAATAGCATGTCAGCATTTTTATCAGACTTTCTAACAAGATGTTGACTGGGGGAAAAGACTGTTCTTTTCTTCTCTTGCCAGTCAGCACAGAGCCTGGCATACAGAGCCATTGTAAATGTGAACAATGTTTTAAATTAGAGCAATATAAGTGATTACTATCAGAACCTATTTCAGCAGCTAATTTCACTGAACCTTCAAGGTGACATTTAAGGTGGGTGGAGAGTGCAAGGTTCTTTTACTAAGCTAATATTCTTTTTTTAGTTTCCCTTGATCCTTTCTTTCTTTGGGAAATTGTATAAATTGCTTCCATTAAATAAAAAATAGTGTAAGGGTTAGGTTCCCCCCCCCACCCCCCCAAAAAAGATTTTATTATTGCTATACCTTTGGCCATTTGTGGGTTTGACTTTTGTGGAATTGATCATTTGTGAATTTGATTTAAATGTTCTCTCTAGGAATCCCTAGATCAGTGATTCTCAAAGTGTGCTCCGTAGAGCCCTTGGGGCTCCATGAAGCATAATGAGGGGCTTGGCACCTCACTCCTTTTTCCTCCCCCTTCCAAGCTTTTCCTCCTCTTTCCTGCTCCTCTCCCTGCCTCCTTCACCCCTGAAAGCCTTTTTTTCCTTGCTTCCCTCACTCACAAAAGTATTTTTTTCCTCATCTTCCTCACTGCCCAGATCCTTTCCTCCTTGCCTTGCTTGCATCCAAAACCCTATCACCCTCTGTAAAAGAATCTTACATTTAAATCGGGGGGGGGGGGGGGGGGGGGGGGGGGGGGAGAGATCCTTATGACATTGACTCAAAAATGTAAATCTCTTTGCTGGTTATCACTGTAACAGAGCGCTGAAGATCTTATACTAATATGTCCCTAACAGATCCCCTCACACACACACACACACGTTCCCTCATCTGCTATATAACTCTCAGCTGAACACCATGTTAAAAGATCAGAGTACAGGGTTATACTCCCTTAGGTTCTTCTCGAACGCTAACACAACCCTGTCGCAAAGCACTTCAATGTGTGTTGTGGATTGTGCGAGTGTAATGGTAGGTTTGCTGCCACCATCCCTAAATTAAAGTTAGAGGAATTGTCTTGTTGTTGTACTTGAAGTAAAGCTTCCCAATATACTGACTCTTCTTTTTGGCTCCCTTTCTGGTGACTGAACTGTAGAGATGTGGAGGATTACTGGATCTAACCTTATATGATGAAACAAGGCTGAGGCAGATTAACAGTAAAGTAGAGAACAGGTTTATTGAAGTATTTGAAGCAAACAACTGACTACTAAGAGGTACATAAGCATAATTTGTTTCTGAAGCACAGACTTAATAAGCAAATGGTTTCTTTAGAAGGAGTATCTTTTCCTTAACATGAGCTACTTTCCTCACTTTACCCTGTAATATGTAACAGTGAGATTCTTTGACCAGCCACTCCTGGCTGCCTTCCAGAGTATCTAGGTTTCCCCTGGACTACTCTGACCTTTAGGGAAATAAACCCACTTGTATTATGTCCTAATACAAGTAAACAAGCCTTCACTTTGACTGTCCTAGTCAATCTATACAGAAGTACTTGCTCTTAACTATTCCCTAACAGGCTAACTCCTAGCTCACTAAGAAACTCTCTTCTCCCTGTCTGAAATCCTAATCTTTTCTCTGCTAGATTAAATCCTTCTCTCCCCCTTCTGTCAGAACTGACAGCCTATTTACACTCTCCTTCAACTCCTCCCCTTGGGGTCTGAACCAATCAGGAGTTAGCTGACTCCTCCCCTTGCCTCTCTGCCTATAACATCATGTCCGCCATCCTGCGCTGCCTTCCCAACATGGAGGCCAGCTCACTGACTTCCAGGCTGTGGCCTAGCAAAGGTAGGAATCATTACACCCTCCCACCACTCAGGGGGTTCTTTATTGTGCATTTTCTGCATGGCAGAAGGGAGTTGAACTGAATGTGCCTGGAGTTTCTATTATTATTACGACTACTATTACTGTACTACTACTACAAAGGCTAGGTGGCCATCTGTTGGGGGTCTTTTGATTGTGATTTTTCTGCATGGAAGAGGGGAGTTGAATTAGATGGGGTTTGTGCTATTATTATTATTACTATTACTATTATTACAAAGGAGATGACGGGAGATGACGGGATCCCAGCTGAACTGTTTAAAATCTTAAAAGATGATGCTGTCAAGGTGATGCATGCCATTTGCCAGCAAATATGGAAAACACAAGAATGGCCATCAGACTGGAAAAAATCAACTTATATCCCCATACCAAAAAAGGGAAATGCGAAAGACTGCTCAAACTTCCGTACAGTTGCCCTTATTTCTCATGCCAGTAAGGTAATGCTCAAGATCCTGCAAGGAAGACTCCAGCAATACATGGAGCGAGAGTTGCCAGATGTTCAAGCTGGGTTTAGAAAAGGCAGAGGAACGAGAGACCAGATTGCCAATATCCGCTGGATAATGGAGAAAGGCAGGGAGTTTCAGAAAAACATCTACTTCTGCTTCATTGACTATTCTAAAGCCTTTGACTGTGTGGATCATAATAAATTGTGGCAAGTTCTTAGTGGGATGGGCATCCCAAGCCACCTTGTCTCTCTCCCGAGGAATCTGTACAAGGACCAAGTAGCAACAGTCAGAACTGACCACGGAACAACAGACTGGTTCAAGATTGGGAAAGGCGTACGGCAAGGCTGCATACTCTCACCCAACTTTTTAACTTGTATGCAGAACACATCATGTGATGTGCGGGGCTTGAGGAATGCAAAGCTGGGGTGAAATTGCTGGAAGAAACATTAACAACCTCAGATATGCAGATGACACCACTCTGATGGCCGAAAGCGAGGAGGAGCTGAGGAGCCTTCTAATCAAGGTGAAAGAAGAAAGCGCAAAAGCCGGGTTGCAGCTAAACGTCAAAAAGACCAAGATTATGGCAACAAGAATGATTGACAACTGGAAAATAGAGGGAGAAACCGTGGAGGCCGTGACAGACTTTGTATTTCTAGGTGCAAAGATTACTGCAGATGCAGACTGTAGCCAGGAAATCAGAAGACGCTTACTTCTTGGGAGGAGAGCAATGTCCAATCTCGAGAAAATAGTAAAGAGTAGAGACATCACACTGGCAACAAAGATCCGCATAGTCAAAGCCATGGTATTCCCTGTAACCTACGGATGTGAGAGCTGGACCTTAGGGAAGGCTGAGCGAAGGAAGATCGATGCTTTTGAGCTGTGGTGTTGGAGGAAAGTTCTGAGAGTGCCTTGGACTGCGAGAAGATCCAACCAGTCCATCCTCCAGGAAATAAAGCCCGACTGCTCACTGGAGGGAAAGATACTAGAGACAAAGTTGAAGTACTTTGGCCACATCATGATGAGACAGGAAAGCCTAGAGAAGACAATTATGCTGGGGAAAGTGGAAGGCAAAAGGAAGAGGGGCCGACCAAGGGCAAGATGGATGGATGGCATCCTTGAAGTGACTGGACTGACCTTGAGGGAGCTGGGGGTGGTAACGGCTGACAGGGAGCTCTGGCGTGGGCTGGTCCATGAGGTCACGAAGAGTCGGAGACGACTGAACGAATGAACAACAATTATTACAAAGGCTCAATGGCCACCTGCTGGGGATGGTCTGCCTGTGTTTTTGATACATGGCAGAAAAGTGTTGGACTGGATGGCCCCTGGGGTTTCTCTATTATTGTTGTTGTTAGTATTACAAAGGATGAGTGGCTGTTTGTTGGGTATGCTTTGTGCTTTTCTTGCATGGCAGAAGGGGGTTGGACTAGATGGCCCCTGGGGTCTTCCATTGAAATACTGTTAAGTTTATGTTGGTAAAAAGGTGTGCCCATGCCTGATACACACACACACACACACACACACACACACATGCACACATTGTATATAATATAATATAATGTAATATAATATATAATATATAAACATTTCTTGGGGCTCCACAATAAGCTTTTGTTTCCAAAAGGGCTCCAAGGCTGAAAATGTTTGAGAACCCCTGCTCTAGATCCTTCAGCAATTATAAGGTGACCATAGAATCATGCTAGAGGACATAGAAGTCTCTAAATAAGTGTTCGCTCATGTAAAAATAATAGCTTTTTAAATTCACATTTGTTCACTTTCAAAGCGGTTTTGTGCCCCTAACCCTAGAGAAAGTGGAAGACTGACAGTATTTGAAAAGATATTTTAGAGAAGCATTTATTCCAAGTTTTAATTACACTTACACAGCCATTAAAAACATGCATTTTTAACAAATAACTAGTTACCTCTATCCAAATGCTTGACTGGTTGATTAATATAAATTAATCTGGGGAAATCACTTGGTATGACAGCTGCTTCTTCAGTTTTCCTCCAAGTCTCTGGTGTTGCAGTCAGTCCTTGTCTATCTACTCACTACCAATTACATGTAACTCCTTTTATCTCTCAGATTTCTTTCATCTGTTTTCTTTTCAATGGGCTTCTTCAAGTATGTGCCCCTGACACCTAAAAGCATTCTGCCTCTTCTGTCTATTATGTTTTTCCATCTAGTTTACACTACACTCTGCTTCCTTAGCCATTTTTCACTTACCTTATAAGACTATCTAGAACTGTTCTTCCTTTGCTCTACTTTTTGCTGACAGAATATATGTGTTCATTATAAATGCACAAACCCCACATGAGTTTTTTCCTCAGCTCTCCATCCCCTTGGGCTCTTTTCTCATCCATACCATCAGCCATCATCTTCTCTGCTTTCCTAACCCCTCCAATGCTATTCCTGAACCAATATTCTTCTTGCCAGCACAGAGAACTGTAGTGAAAGCAGCATTTAACAACATCATAGCAGTTTGTATTATTAATCTCAAAGATCCCACTTTTCAATGTCAATATTTCCCAAGCCAAGATTTCTGACAGAATTTGAACAACACTCAAAGAATTTAAACAACACTCAATGAATAAGCACAAAATTACATCCTATTCTGCAACCTCTCATTGTGTGCAAAGGCTTATCGACAACCTGACAGCCAGCACTCATACAAATGGGCCAAGGGATAATTGGAAAAGTGGGGTGATTGCTTGGTTTAGTGGAAGGGAGAAGCTACCAGGATTGACCTATCACTAGCAGCATAACTGATGTTCGCGTTTTATAGATAATTATAGCATTTACAGTGAATAATGTACACTTTAACTAGTTCACATAACTAATTACTTCTTCTTGTTAAGTAAGGAGTTTGGAGCCCATAAAGCCAAATACAAACCAGGAGTCATATATCTGACAAGCTATTGATTAATAGACCTCATGTTTTGTGGCTCCAGTTCCCAGGTGGGCTGGTCCTGCAGTGGTTGCTATTCTCACTTTAAGGCAGTTCTCAACCTATGGGTCTCCAGATGTTTTGGTGTACAACTCCCAGCAATCCTAGCCAGTTTACCAGCTGCTAGGATTTACCAGCTGCTAGGATTATGAGCACCACTACTTTAAGGTGATACAATGAACTTGTTGGGTCACAAAGTGTGCAGAATTATCATTGGATATATACACAGTATGACCCCTGTATCCATGATATATATGCTTCCAGACTTTGAGTGGATATACAAAATTTCAGATAAATGCGAACCCCACTGAAATTGATTTATTGCTTAAGAACACTACATAGTCATGCTGGAGTAGCTAGAAAATTCCCACAGATGACATATTGTTGTTGTTTTTTTTTTCAAATATGGATAAATGAAACGATGGATACCAGCCTATGCTATAGCACCTTGAAGTTTAATACATGGAATTGAGGCAACAGCAAGAGGGTCTACATCTACACTATTACTACAAAAACTGTACAGGAGGCATTCAAATTTTATATAATTTCCTTAAGATGTTGTGTTTTGGGGGGTTTTTTTGGTGTGTGAAATCAAGGATAGAAAAAAAATCACAGGTTAAAGACAGTGGTAAACACAATAGAACCCAAGTGTGATAATGGTCACTGTAAATAGGACTGAAATATTCAGCACAGTTCTTGGCATTGGCACTCTTTTTTACACATTACACATTCTTTTGCTCAAAGCAGCTACCTTGGTCTTGTTGAGATAACTGAGAAAATTCAAATCACTTGACATTTGAGGTGTTTTACATTCCTTGGCCATTAACATCTGAAAAGAACATTAAGCTTCTCCAATGGCAAGTCGTGAAATATTCAAGTTTCAACTCTATCCAGTATTTGGTACCAATCCTGTGTACTGAACACAGTGAAGCTCACTCCTGAATTAGATGGTGTGTAATAGTTTTATTTATAGACATAACTTAGTAGCTTTCATTTCTTCATTTTAGCTCCAATGTGCATCAAATAAGCTTTCTATGGAAATGCAAATAAAGTCTTCATCAGCATTCCTTTATAACAAGGATGGCAATGTAATTTATGTTATTTGTTGTTGAATGAAATATATTCAGTGTAGGAGAGCAGGGAAAGTTGTGGGGAGTATTTTGGTCTATACCAGACAGCATAATTCTGAGCAATGGAGTGCAAAAAGGTAACTTTTCCAAGTTCTGCACCATGGGGTTTTGTGCAGCTTCGGCCTGTAAATATTTGCACATAGATATAATCCTCTCTCTGGGTTCAGTGAAGTTTATTCACAGAAATTGCAGTGCTTACCTTTAGACTTTTTCCAGGCACTCTTCTAAAAGGGAGAGTTCTTCCTTGAAACAGTTTTGCAATCATATAAACAGAACTGCTTACATTTTGTTCATCACAGGAGTAGATCTCAAATTGGACTTCCACACACACTTGCACATTTTATCCACCTTTATGGGTAAAATCTGATTTCAAAACAGTGTATTTGGGCTGTGATCCTCTGTACATTTATCTAAGAATAGGCTCCACTGAACATAGAGGGACTTACTTCTGTGTAAACATGAATCAGATTGCTTTATTAGGAAATCTGAAACCACAACACAACAGGGAGGGCACAGTTACAGAGTAAGATTGCTGACTTCAAATAGCCACAGATGATTTACATTTTTTTCCTCCAAGGACATAATTTGAAAAAACAATACTTACGTGTAAATGTCTCTGCTTTCAGGAAGTGCTAGTTTCAATCTGTGAGATCCGAGGTTCAGGAAGTGCATTCTTACTCAAACAAAGTACATTTTTATAGGCCACAATCTTTCTCCACCCACCAAATCAGTGCCTTGGCAAGCAGTGTGCATTCCTGCTCCAGAAAGAAGGGAGAGAAATCCCTGGCAGATGGATCAGTCTCAAATGGGTTGAAAACACCAAACTGTCCTCTGCCTTTAAATCTGAAATGGTTCACATTCACAGGCACACTGTGTGGAGAGAATTCAGTTGTAAAGATTTAATTTTAAAAGAGGCGTGCTTACTTTCATAGCATTATATTTTTATTATTATTTGATACACAAGATTAGTACACAACAAACAAGATCACTATGCTGGCTTTTGTACTGATTATTATTATTATTATTATTATTTTACTGACACAAAAACACAGTATGTCACAGCAAATGAGATCTATATGCTGGATTTCATATCACAAAATCACAAGTTGAACACTTCCCAAGCATCTAGGACTGTGTGATGTATATTATTATTATTATTATTATTATTATTATTATTATTATTATTACTATTATTACTATTATTACTATTATTACTACTATTACTATTATTACTATTATTACTATTATTACTATTATTTGAAACACAACAAGATTAGGACACAGCTAACAAGATCACTATGATGGTTGTTGTATTGGATCACACGTTATTATTATTATTATTATTATTTATTAAAAAATCTGTCTAGGCAAAAATAAAATTAAAAGGCATAAGAATATTCATGCAGTTACTGAAATGCTGTGGAAACTCTTGAGATTAAGGGACTAGCAGTTATTTACATCTGCCAAGACTTTGCAACAGCAGTCTCACACCCACACCCAAGCAGAGCTTTTGTCCCATGTGGATGCTACAGTTATACAAGCTGCTCCTCAGTGTGATTTAGTTTAGGATCTCCATGGTTACACTGCCACTTGGGTTTAGTCTTTGGTGCTCTCATTGTAATATCTTCCCTATTCTCAATGGGAAACAACATCCTGATAGTTCCTTGCACCACTGCTTCTCTGACTATTGCAGGGAAGCTTATGAAAACTGGTTTCATCGCAGGAAAAGCACATTTCCTCCCCCTTGTAATTGAAATATTCATTATTACTGTTTAAACAGAGAGCGGGCAGTCTGTAGTTCTCAAAAGTCAAGCTAGATAGCATATGGTCTTTTTTTTATTAAAAAAAACCTGTAAGTTATCGATTTGGGTTTCTAGAGGCTCTCTTCTTATTCAGTGGCCTGCTGCATGAGGAGGAAGGCCACTGAATGGGAAGGAAAGTTTGTTTGGGGTAACTCCAGTGGAGCTAACCACACTTTCCTTCCCTTTTCCCCATATGATGGAGGAAGGCGGGAGTCCACCCCTTGCATCACAAGCTGCCCTGTGTGCCTTCCTTTTTGCCTGCTGATGAAATGGCACAGCCTGAAAAGGCCATGTGAAGAGATCTCTAGTCATGTTTGTGTCCTCTACAATTGATTATTTGTCTGTGTAGATGAACCTGTGATGCACAGGGACCACATGAGCTCTAGCTTTATTCGAGATATGGGTCATGAGATAACACTGTGGATACATAACAATATATAATTTTTGGAGTTGTGTATAATGAGACATTTTAAAAATCCTTAAAACCCCTCTATGAATGGTAGCTTCCCATTGCCTGGGAATGTCCCATTGCCAATTAATGGCTAGGAAAGGGAAGGTGCAGCTGGGCAGAAGTTGGTTGACATCCTACAGATTTCTCCAATTCAGATTTCCACAGTGCACCAGCTCATGTCTGCAGGGAACAGGAGGAGTTCAGCAGAATTTGTAAAGCAGAAGTTTTCTCTCTGCTCATACAATGCAGGGCATCAGCCAAAGTTATCTGTTTGCCAATGTAAATAACAAAGGAAACTGGAAAGTCATGTTAGGTATTGACATCTTTTGCTTGTATAGTCTAAGGAAGGTGTTCGCAAACTTTTCCAGCTGCAAAGCCCCTTTTGAAGCAAAGGTTTCTTGTGGAACCCCAAGAAATGTTTATATATTATATTATTATATTATATTATATTATATTATATTATATTATATTATGTTATTGTGTTTGCATGATTTTAATGCTCACCTTTTTGGCCTAAATTACCTTCCCAAAATTAGGGTAAATACCTTTTTGGGTTTCGGAGTTTTGAAAATTGTAGTATTCAGTGGTGCATTAGACTTGAGTAAATGTGTGTGTGTGTATCTGGCATGGGTAAACTTTTTGATGCATCATGTTTTAAAATTTGACAGATGGGCTGGGCCAGTGGCAGATGGATGGAGAGTGTTTGTGTGAGCTAATTTTTTAAAAAAGTAGTGTGTCCCTCACACCCACAAAAAATGAAAGAAAGAATAATACAATATTTTAAATGAAGGAAAATATTAGCTAACAGAAACTTAATAGTATTTCAGGAGAAGACTCCAAGGGGTCATCCAGTCAAACCCCCTTGAACCATGCAGTAAAAGCACAATCAAAGCACTCCCAACATATAACCACTCAGCCTTTGTAATAATAATAGTATTAGGAGAAACCAAAGGCTATCCAGTCCAACCCTCTTCTGCCATGCAGGAAAAGAACAATCAAAATTCCCTCAAAAGATGGCCACACAGCCTTTGTAACAACAAACAACAACAGCAGAAAACTCTGGGGCCATTGAGTTCAACTCCCTTCTGCCATGCAGGAAAAGCATAATCAAAAAAGGGAAATAGTGGGTTTTGAAAGCAAGCAAGGCAAGTGGGTTGTTATAGGTTTTTCGGGCTATATGCCCATGTTCTAGAAGCATTCTCTCCTGACATTTTGGCTGAATCTATGGCAAGCATCCTCAGAGGTTGCTTCCTCACTACCTCTGAGGATGCTTGCCATAGATGCAGGCGAAACATCAGGAGAGAATGCCTCTAGAACATGCCCATATAGCCCGAAAAACCTACAACAACCTAGTGATTCCAGCCATGAAAGCCTTTGACAATTTGCTATCCAGACCCTTGAGTTGGCTACAGAATGGTTCTGAATAGAATAAGTCTACAACTGCAAATAGTCCTTGATATCTGCAGTTTTTGTAGACTTTCTTACAACAAGAGGAAAGTTGCATAAGAATTAAGAAAATCAGTGAAGAAATGGCATTTCTACTCATTGGAACTTACTTCTGAGTAGACACACATTAAATATATAACTTGTTTTGTCACATTATAAACTATTGCATAAATAATTGTATACAATAAAAATGGACAATGAAAATATTTCAGATATAAATATTTAAGAAAATTGCAGCATTATAAAACTGCAACTGCAGTCAAGCATAACCTTATTGACACACATTTGCTAAAGAGATAGGCACAGCCATTTCAACTGTATGTGCATATGATCATATAAAGTTTATTTGTAGATGGCATGCCACTTCAGGGCACAAAATATGTGCTTGTGTTGTCTCCAGAGGCACCACCTTTCTGATGGCCTGGGCCTGAAGCAGCCTCTTTCCCATCTGCGCTGTTCTTTTATGTTACTTCCTTTTTCTCAAAAATAACTGAGCAGCACAAGATGACTTTAATAGACCAAATGTCACAGGGGTATTTGAGGACAACTTATAAGTCACATTGAACATTTTCAAAATCTTTTATACATGTTGTATATTCCTTACAGAAAATGCTTGAGAACAGGGGTGTTTGGAAATTTGATTTTTAAAATGTCCATATGCATGCATAAGGAGATATTTTGGAGATGCAACCCACATTTAAACATTGAATTGATGTATGTTTCATATTCACCTTATACAAATAATCTGAAGGTAACTTTGTAAACAATATTTTTACTAATTTTGCACATGGAACAGAATTTGTGCTCATCAAATCATCCAAAAGTAAAGGTGTCATTATCTCAACCATCCATGTACACAATTTTTCAGTGTATTTTGGATTTCAGAATACTAGATGGGGGATGCTCAACTATGTAATCATATTTCCAATAAAATAATGTTAGAATGACTTTTTAAAAATACATGCATTGCACACATAGTCATTAAAGGATTAAGAACTGCTCAAAACTCAGGTAGCTTAGGAAAAAAACAGTTCTTACTAAAACATGAACAGAATAAATAGAATTCATGAAATGAGCTGTTAAATACCGTTACCTGAAGCTGTGAGGGAAAAAGTCATTTCATGTAATTTAAAATGCTCTAGTGATCACACACCCACTGAAAGAACTTTACTATAAGAATGTGAGACTTTCCAGCTCATTTGATTTCCATCTTTAGGCCAAGGTAGAGAGCATGTACTTCACTTCATCCTGATGCCTGGAAAGATAATAGTATAATAGCTTGAACAAAAGTGAAAACCCTACAAAACTACAACCACTGTTCAGCAATGGAACTCTCTGCCCTGGAGTGTGGTGGAGGCTCCTTCTTTGGAGGCTTTTAAACAGAGGCTGGATGGCCATCTGTCAGGGGTGCTTTGAATGCAATTTTCCTGCTTCTTGGCAGGGGGTTGGACTGGATGGCCCATGAGGTCTCTTCCAACTCTATGATTATATATGATCTGAGCAATAATGTAGTCTTCATATGTGTTTTGTTGCTCTTTTAGTTCTTGTCCATGTTTCAGGAGACCAGACTACAGAACAACAGCATCAATAACTATTTTCTCTCCCTATGGTTTAAGGCAGGAAACAGCATTGTACACATAGCAATCACAAAACACCAGTTTAAAAACATACAACATTTTTTAAACATATAAATTTTAAAGCATCTGTATAAGCATGCTGGACTATGCACTATGATTTCACATTAACCACAAACCCACACATTCTCTCTGATCCTCGGGGGGAGGCCCTCTTCTCACCTCATCCTCTATCACAGGCACGACTTGTGGGAACAAGGGAGAGAGCCTTCTCCACTGTGGCCCCCTGGCTGTGGAACTCGGTACCTGGTGAGATTAGGCTAGCCCCCACCTCAGCAGCCTTTAAGAAAGATCTAAAGACTTGGCTTTTCTGATGTGCCTTTGGAGAGTGACCATATATTCCAGTCCTGTTGTTTCACCTACACTGTTTCCCACATAATGAACTCCCCCCCCCCCCCCCCACTTTATTGAAAGTCTAATTTCACTGTTCAGTCCCCTACAAATGCCTCCCCCACAAATGTATCTTTTCATTGCTATCTCATCCAGAGTTTTATCATTTTATGTTGTGC